TTGTAACCTTGTGTTTCCAGCTGTTGCACACGCAGCCATGTGTTGTGTTTCAAAGTCCATGTGGCGAGCTGTTTGTCCCAGCAATTCTAATTTGAACTGCCACTTTGCCACTGAACATGGGCATTGCTATCAGGGCTGTCATCACTTGTCGATAGTGCAACTTTATCATCGGTATCACAGTAGTGTTAGGCGCAACATGAACGGCCAAATCGGGAGGTGTCAAAACTTCACTGCGCCGACAATGACATCATCTGGGCATTACACGACCAGTTTCAGGACACTTCCAGTGGAATATATTCCGGAGCGCACACTCCTGCTTGGGATGTCTATTGCTTGGGGCAAAAGAGGATTGCAGTCGCAACACCACACATGACTTGACATTGACATGACTTGACTGAGCTTGTGTATGTCTGTGCTGCACATCTCTCTACAATCTGCAATGCACCTGACCAGGTGCATGTGGATGCAGGTGTTTTGCGAACCCTCCACAGTGCTTGCTTTCGAGTAAAGGTGATGAACATGTCAAGAAGAAAAATGCCAGTGCATCACAGTCAATCGTCAGTTGGTTCTTTCTCAAGCAAGTCCAAGTGTCTTCTCCAAACCCAGGTCTTGGATCTGTGACTTTGGCAGCATCCTGCAGTGGTGTGTGGATTGAAGTCTCCAGGATTTGCGGGGCATGATGTTGACTGACAACACACACGAGAGAGGATTGAACAAATCTCTAAAGAAATTGTTGATGAAGAGGAGTATTCTCAAAGCAAAGCAACTGTTCTGATGGTGGCAGTTCTGCTTTGATGCATTGCTCCGAGGCGAGGGCAAGCTAACTACAACAGAAATGTGCATTAACGCTCGATTACTGAGCGGATGCAAAGTTTGGAGCTCTTGTTATAATCATAAACGGGAGCACTGAAGTGGCAAGCCATCATCACAAAGAGCCGTCTGGAGGACCTCAGGGAAGGGCCCACACCCTGTCCGCTGCGCACCTGGCAATCAAGAGCGTCCCCTCCGAGCGCAAGCGGTTCTGCGCCAGGTCCAAGCGGTGGATGCCTCAGCGTGACAAGAAGACAAACAGAGAGGGGGCAAATCAAACACGGTGGCTGCAGGACAGCTGGAGCGGCTCAGTTGTTTTATGACTACTCTTTGATGGGGTGCTGATAGACTGTGAGGTGCCGTCCCAAGATTCTCCGTCAAAAAGCCTTAGAACTCCAGGAGAGCCTTTGAGTGAACTTCGGCAAATCCCACATGTTGGCTCAGATAGTAGAATCCATCTGGGCGATCTTTTGAAGCATGAATCAGGCACTGCACGCAGTGCGTTTGCAGACTTGGGCTGGTTCTCCAGACTTTACTTTGGCCACCCCATCAGCCAGTGCCCAGGCGCTGCTCCGTACGAGTGCTCGGGCAATCTGCTCAAGATCCTCCATGGTCAAGGAGCCTAAAGAGCCGGAGTCTTCAGCTGAAGATCAAATAGTCTCTGGTCACAATTCTTTAGGGAATGTCAGTGCGCAAGACATGTCGATACCATGGGCTTCTGCTCGACTACCCGATCACCTACGCTTGGAGTGGTCTCACGGACTGTTCGGCCAAAGCGGCAGCTTTCCACCGAAAGCCTGGTGAGCTCCGGCAAGGTCCGGAGGAACACACCCAGGGATCGTCCTGCGCCTCGTCCCCGCTCCCACCGCCCCCCCCCGACCATGGGATTCTCTTATCGGTTCTCCACGAGCCCCTGCGTGTTCGGCCGATCACATGAGTGCCATTCAATTGAGTTGAAGCGAAAACAGCAGCGGGGTCGACTTTCTTCTTATCCAGCAGTGGTGACAATGGTAGAACGGCGCCTGTAGGCGTGTGTACTTGGGGGGTCACTTTTCGTGACAGTAGATATCAGTAGATCCAACTTGCACGTCTTGGTGGTCTCATGTCTACTTTTTGTGGCATAGATTCTGTGGCTGGTGCAGTGAATTGAATGTCTGAATTGTCGCTGATTCTTGACATTTGGGAGACAGCTTCGCCTTTTGGCATTTTGACGCGCCAATTTCATGGCAGGCGTAGCGATTGCAAGCAACGCATCTTGGAAGAGTTTCGAGCGCTTGGCCGATGCTCGGGTGCGGCCTGACCACCTCCGAAGGTTTCGCCCTAGAGCGCGGAAGAGAAAAACCAGCCCCGTTCGTAGCGTCCGATCGCACCTAGTAGCGATGCCGGGAGCCCCTAGTAGCTCCTTGTTCCTAGTAGCGATGCCCTGTGCTCCTGCCCAAAAGAAATCCGTTCGAGAAGGCCAAAAGAAATCTGGGGCTTGAAGGGACAAGGGTTGGAATCTGAGCTTGGCCCCCGATGCAAACTTCGACCTTCCTGAAAGCTTTGGTTGCCTGGCAATGGCTTTGGCACGGTTAAATGCCTTTGCCGTCGTCTCACTTGCTTGTGATTTAAACCTGTTTGAATAACGAAGGGCCACCCGATCCAGTGCCAGCTTGCAAAATTCAATGTCTGTGCCATTCTGTGCCACTCAAATGTGCTTAGATCATCTTAGCTCTTGGCTGCTGCAACCAAGCTTGTCCAAGGAGTGCATTTCTTCCAAAGCACACAGAGTTCAAGCAAAACTATCAATTCTTTGGATCGACCATGCCTGTTTACTCATTCAACTGGGCAACATGAAACCTCCGTCCATCTGAAGTGAGTGCCGAATGCTGCCACGTAGGCGCACGCACTTGGTGATCAACTTTTCCAGCTCGTGCTCTTCTCGAAGAGCTTCAAGCTTCGCCTGCAGCAACTCCCACTCTTGTTGGGAGGAGGCTCTACGGCATTTTTCATAGAGCGATTTAATTTCTTTGGCACGCTCGATGCCTGCATCATCAAGGATATCATTCTTGTTTTGGAGGCCATTCAATGCAAGAACTTTGTCTCGAACTTGTTTGTGATTGTCAAACGTGAGCGAAAGAGCTAGAGCTGCCTGTCTTTGCTTGACCTCAAGGCCAGCATCCAACAGGTGCCGCAGCGTCAGTTTGCAAGTTGCAAGTTGTGTGCACTCGAGGGCGTTGCCACCGCCGCTCATTAATCGAAGTCTCCACTTGGTCAACTCACGCGAGTGTAGGAAGGAGTGCAATTCCTGCAAAACGAATGGATTCTTTTGCCACACTTTTAGCTGAAGCCCAGCACATCCGCCAACAGAAATCGAGCCCTCCGCATCAAAGAAACCAGCAAAGTAGGGCCACGAGCAATGGAAACGTGCAGGCACGTGGTCATTCTGCTTCAACTGTTTTAGCTTCTGTGCCACATCACTTCTATCTGCTTCTATAATTGTCCCAGCTGCTGCTATCTGGAGTTGTGCCCGCTGCATGGAGGGAACTTTGCACAGCACCCGAGCTGCGTGCTGCATGGTTGTGCTGCAAACGACCCATTGTAGCGATGCTTGTTGTGCTCCTGTTCGGACTCTTTCTAGATAAATTCCGCCTCCGAGACTGTCTCGGAAGCGCATCAGCACGCTTGCAGAGTCCAAAGCTTGGCCGACCCTCAACGAAATAGAACCCCTTTGCTTGATCATGGTCACACACCCATCTCCATCAAAGAAGCCAACTAAATATTCAAGCTCTTGTTGAGCTGGGATATGTGATGGCGGAGGAACTGCTTTAAGTGGAAGCTTATATGTCTTATCACCAAGTGTGAAGCTGTCCAGCGGCGCAAACCTGATTTGCTTTTGCAGCGCCGTCAAACGGTTGCAATGCCTTTTCAATCTCTCGATCTTACGCGAGGTTGGCACACGAAAGGGCGAACTGGAGGCACACGCAACATTCCATGCAGCAGCAATGCAGGCAAGCCAGAAAAGCATGAACAAAGATCTGATGAAAAATGGGAAAGCAAGGGAGGATACCTGGAGCCTGGAGCCCAAGACGAAGCACTTCAGATTCACAGGATCATGGAGACAGGGTCTGTCTGGGTGGGGTTAGCCTCGGGCAACGGAATTCTGGGTTGAACTCCTTCAGTGGCAACATTGAATGCAAAGGACACTCACATGCCTCTTTCTGTTGTAAAACCCCGCGCTTCTACGGATTGGTTCAATACTCGTGTTAAAGCAAAACAAACTACTTCGATTCGTCCAGCACCTCCGACTGGCGTCGTGGGTCTTTGGATCCCCAGGTCCTCAACACACCGACACGGTCCTCACACGAAGACCTAGCCTGATGACCTGGCACTCTATTTCAGGGGACCGTAAGAAGTGCTGTAAGAGAACACTACCCGGACTACTACCCGGCCCAGACTTTCTTGACTGCATGGAGGGGTCAATGATGCTCAAACGATCCATGGGACTGCACCTATGACCTACAACAGGTATAGGTAGACCTGACGCGAAAACTTCCGTATTAGGTAGGTGGACCTAATAACCACCAAACACCAAAAAGACAATCCTGATCCCAACAACTTCAATAAGTAGGTGGGACTTCCGACCTTCCCCGTGCCTACCCACACGATCCTGACCCCAAAGCCCACCGAACACCGACTGTCGTCACGGTCGTCGCGGTCGTCACGGTTGGTCTCTGGACTCGAACACCAGCCCGTCACGGTTGTCACAGTTGGTCTCCGACCCGTCACAGTCGTCCGGTGGGTGACCCAAGGTCCCGCAGCTTCGTTTGGAACTCCGAGGGAGCAATCTGAGTAGCTCGCCATGCACATCCATGAACATCCATACACCACGAAGACAAGATCGGATCAGGGAAAAGTATTGTGCCGTAGAGTCACCCAGCGTTCACTAATTGGATCTGACACATTTTCAAGCACGCATCATCTGACAAAGTTGCCATAGTTCTTTGGTCCTAAACGCCAGGGAGAGCTCACCCCCACTATAGAATTATTGCGGCCCCCAAAAAGGGAGTGGCCTACTCGGACTACTCGGGTTGAAAGTGAAGAAGGAAACAAATCAAGTCAAATTCACTCACATTGCAAGGCAGGATTCTGTTCAAGGACAGTGGAAGCAATGCAAGCAATGTTCTACTTGTACCCGGACCTTTATCTAGTCAGTTTGTCCTGAGTTCCCCTTCCACGATGATGCTGACCCAAACGTTGCCTGTGAGATGATTCTCCGACAGGTCCAGGCATTGCAACTTCCAAGCAAGAGGCCCGAGAGGGCTGAGGCCGGCTCGTTCTGCACAAGAAGCACCTCAGGTCCGGCCGGGTGATCAATCTACCAGGATCCCAGGGGCCATGAAGCTATTAGGTCTTACTGCAAACAGATTCAAATCATTCCTTCCGCTGTTGCCGGGCTCTATCCGTGTGAATCCCTGCATAAACTGTTAGGCCACCACGCTTTCTGGCTTGGCAATCAGGTCCATCGCTGAGAATTTGGGTGTGGGCCTTGCGCGCGGCGAATCACGGTTCTGCGTGGCGCACCAGTTTTCACAAACATCTTGACATCCTTTCTTTGCCGACCTCATATGTTGTCGTATGGTACTCCCTCCCGTTGATGGACCTATGCTTTGGCAGGTTATATTAGAATGCGTGCAACTGGCTGGTAAGCAGTCTCAATCTTAAATTTGGCAAGTATTGGGGAGGGAGACCGGTCTGGGATGGAAATGAAAGGAGATTAGTCTTGAGGAAGAACATGTAAAACATCCTGGACACAAATTTTAGCTTTGTATAATCAGCTGTTTAAGGCTCGCCTTTTGGAGATTGCCTCCTAAAAAATTGTTGATAGCTTTTGAATACGTAAAGTAAGGACATCCACCAGAAGGTTTTGGATTGTTGGGACTCCAAATTCCAACATATTCCAAGCTGATGTAGCTCATTGTATTCCTAAAAGCTATTCTATGTTGCCACCGTGCACTACAGTTGCACAGGGCCAAACAAAATTGGTACGAGTATGTGGGCAAGCTGGGTCTTCTGCACAGGTTCATGCAAGTTTCTGGGCTTCGAAGAGCCAATCCTGGCTGATAGAAGCACCATTCACAGAAGTTAATCTTTTTTCTGTTTGCCAAACTTTGTGGTGTGCTTTTAGAAGTTCGCAGAAGAGGCGGAGGCAGGCAGAAGTAAGTCGAGTTGGACAAGGTGTAAAGTCAGAGATGTATCCCTCATCATTCCTCAAGTTCTCCGATTGCAATTCCCCCTCCAATGTCTCTGCTTTTGTGAGTGCCTCTTCGCCACGTACAGAGCTCCGGGGCAGGGGGAAAAGACATACACCGGCACCCTGTCGGCCGGATATTGAGTTGACATCGATCTATCTGTGGAACTCTGCCTAGTAGCAAATCTCTGTAGCTTACCAGGGCCCAATGGTTTTATGGGATCACAAGGCATCCAGCAGCGCAGGTGAGCCGCCGCCAAGCAAGAATGGACAAATCCCCTGGCGCCAATTGGGGGGGGGTTACGCTCCATAAAGATCGATTTTTGGGAGGTAGCTCTTGAGTAAGGGATTTTCCTTTTGCTTCTAAGCAGTTCCATCAAATGGGTGTTGGATTTTGGTGATTCCAAGCAATGAAATATAAAGGAACATATTTCAGAAGGTCCACAAATGAATAAAGAGAAAGATCCAACAGTGAGTAAATCTAAGGCTCAAGGGATTTGTACAATCCAGAAAAATATGACTTTCCTTATTGAGTGTCAAAGTTGTTTAAAGGCAACGAGAAAACAATGAACAATCAATGGAACAACATTGCAAACAACAGAAACATACTTCGGATTTAGCAAAACACACTCACAAACACAGAAAAATCATGAAACACAATAAGCTGTGAACAGGAATACAATGAGAAATCCATGGAAAAGAGGAGCAAAACAATATACAAACATTAATGTTTTTCAAGTCCTTGGCGCCGCGGTCAGTTACATTCCGGAATGAAAGGAAAACATTTGGCACCGACTACCGGCACTGGTCCGATTGCCGGTCTTTGGTCTTTACAACGGCATAACCCGTTGATGTGCCAGAAACAAGAAGCTACTCTTGGCTCCTGGCATCGCTACTAGGAGCAAGAACGCTACTAGTAACAAGAAGCAGAAACTCTATCTCCCGACGACACTTCCGCGTCATCCCATCCCCAGTCGTCGCCTTCCGAAATCCTGAGCCAAGTCGTTGAGCTGTGCAGCATCCACCGAGCAGCACCGCGCTTGCAGCGCCAACAACTGCCCTGGCAAAAGCTTCGGTCTGGATGCTGGGGCGGTGAAAGATCCAGCAACAAACTGTGGTCACCGTCATGTTCATTTACATTTCTTTTTTGGGAGGCCCTTCACCGAACCGTATAGAGTTTCGGCTCCCATCAGAGAACTAATTGAAGTCGGCATAGAAGGAACTGCAGGCTTCATGCATTTCGCGGCACTGGTTTGGCGCTTTTCGTGAACTCCAGCTTGCGCCCGGGATATCCTTTGTGGTCTGGCCCAACAAACACATGCCCACAGTCCAAAAGGGTAAGCAGTGAACCTCGAATGATTCCACCGTGCAACTACTCCCGCTGAAATCCCGCTGAACTACTAAGCTGAAGGACTCCTTTCAATGGATTCTTAAGCACCTTCAAACATTTTCACAGCCAACACGTGATTCCCGGCTACGCCAAAACCGGGGGCTTCAACACCTGTGTGTCGCTGGGTTTCGCTTCAGTTCATAGTTCCATGGCCAAAGCTTCCGGTTGAAAAAGCGGAAACCTTCATGTAGCACATCCGTTTAAAGCATCACTCAAGAAGAAACATCTCGATTTGATTTCGCAGCCTGATCTTGTCAGTTAAGAAGAAAAGACAACTTCAATTCATACCCTGATTTGACCGTACATTCCACAGATGCCTTTTGTACCAAATGCCATTCCGTGTTTCATGTGTGTACTTCACGATGTTGTGTACCTTCTTGTACAGTCACCCAAACTATAAGGCTTTCGTGCCTGATTTGGTGCGGGAGTCAAATTGGCATCATCCCTCCAAAGTAACAGGGAGGTCCCATCCACCCTCCAAGTGCTCCCCTGCCCACCGTTTCGCAGTGAGAGCAGTGGACTTCCACCCAGGCGGCAATGGAGGAAACTCCTGAGATGGCTGTCATATGCCACGAAGGTTTGTTGGGCACCAAAAAAAGGGTCACTTTCACTGGTGCTGTCTGGTGTCTGGTCTACCATATACATGGTTTGATCCTTCGGGGCATTGCCAGGACAAGAATTGAAGACACCAAAAGCATCCATAGACGTGTACAAACAATTCAATCTGATACGAAAACAGTTCTTGCAGAATTGTCAAACGTTGAACGATGGGTGCTGTGTCATGTTCACCGTGTGAATTGAGGCGCTTGAGCTGAACCAAAAGACACTCAGTTTGATTCCTGCGGCTCAAACGAAGAAGTGAAGCATGCAAACATACTTTTCCGCAGGATTGGCTGAAGAGGCGATTCTCCTCCATTCAACACCACGCAGCACATCGCAATCCTTGCGGCCACGCATCAATTGCTTCAGGTGTTTGACTTCCTCCAAAAGCCTCCGGAATCCTTCCAAGCCTCGAGCAGCACAGTCGGTCGAAGAAGCTCGAGCAACTCCCACCACTTCCAGTGTTTCCGAGGCGACCCTGAGAACTCGCAAGTCCGACCATGGTCGTTTCACTTCGACCGGCCATCGTGGAGATCCGTGCGGCTTTGAAAGGAACCACGTCTCCCACTTTGCTGGGAGACCCGTCCCAGGCAAGTCGGGGGTAGGGCGTTCACACCAATCAAATATATGCAATATGACATATATTGTACCGGATTCCAAGAAAAAGTCTGTATGGGTGATGGAATGATCATTCTTAATCATTCAAAACCAGACCTGCAGCAAAATCCTGTCAGAAAGAACCTGTGACTTGGCCGTCGCCCATGGGCAAAGCAAGAACGACAGTAACCTAGACAAAATCAAGAGCAGGGTCACCTCCAATTGTTGCTTGGCGCACTCTGCGCGTGCCACTTCCTTAAGTGAACCGTGTAAAGCCGTGGCGCACTTGCAGCCTTGCAGCAAGGCAAACATTCAAAGACACAGCCATGCACGATGCTGCAGCAACCACATCTTCGCTAGTGTTGTTTAACTAAATGAAAGGCGATAAAGTATCCTGCAAGTCGAGGGCAATCACAGGGCACCCGATTGCCGAATAAAACTCTATATTGTGATCTCAGGCCTTTCTCATTGCGCATCATGGTGGAAACCAGGTTATTTTGGCTACGCCACCGGCTCTGACTCTGACAAGCTTTTTGCCAAGTCGGCAATGGCTGTTGGCCATTTGTCCATGGCGCATTCCCAACTTGCTTGTTCAGTGCTGTTTCCAAGTGGTTTGTGCTACAAAAACAGCAAGAACTTCCGGAGACAAACCCAAGACATTTAAGAGGTTTAAGACATTTAGGGCTGAGTTGGCCGCAGTTCGTCAGGGTTTGCGGGTGACTTTTCAGACTTGCATCAGATGTGTAGTCATTTTGGGATTTAGCCATATGAACCAAGGTGCACCAAGGGTTTCACATAGCCATCCAGCTTTCCTTGTGATCCGCAAGCATTCATCCGTTTCTAATTCTGTTCAGCGGGTTTGGGGCCAACGTCAAATGCACATTGTACTTCGATTTGTGAGGGTTGCGCATCAAAGGGGACATGTGTTTGCACCCAGTTTGCAATCTGCCATAGTCACTTGTTAGACATTGTCGGCAAGTTGTCGGGTAGAGGGTTTTGTGAAACATGACGAAGCAAAACAATTGATTTGGAGAATTCCATGGGTACAAATAGTTTAGACATGTTTGACTGATTGATTCAACTCCACTGCTGTGGTTGTCCTCTTTGTTTTCCTTTCAATATGGACATGTGCTGGGCTTAGGCGTGTCGGTGATTTGTGAAAACATGGGCAAATGATGCTGTCACCGTCACTGTTGCCTAGGTGTTCAACATGATCGAGTGTGCCCGCTACCACCTGTGCGTTGCCTGCAGCAATGGAAGGCCCAAACTTCTCCTTTCTTTCCTTGAGTCTCACGTCTCAATCGGAACCTAAAATGGACCCCAACCACCTAAACCATTTCTTCTCCAGGGCGGCCAAAGCACCAAGTCTTTTGAACGGATTCTGACTGAACAGAGTTGAACCAATCGATGAATGCCTTCGCCATTTGTTTTTTCAACTGCGTGGCAGAAGCTCAAAACCAAGAGCACTCCTACTCATCGACTTCCACAAGCTCGTGCTCGGAGCTGGTTTCATCACTCATCGAGCTGGTTGCAAGGTCATCCAGGCAGCCGTCCATGTCCTTCTTGGTTTCCGACGGCGAAGGTGATGCGGCCTTCCGCATTGCCTTGTTCATGCTTGCTTTGATGACCTCTTGAAGTAGTGCTTGTATGGGCACGCTTGGTCTCGAAGGGTTGCTGCAAAATAGGTTGGGCCGGCCAAGATTTGTCTTCCAGCACCTGGCAATTTCCCACTCCATGTCATCTTCATCTGCAAGGTATGTGTGGCCAACACACTTCAAAAGTTGCAAGGCAGCATAGACATCCAGCAGCGGGTGATCCAATGGCAGCAAATAGGCCGGTGGCATCTGTGGCCGAGGTTTTGGGATGGACGTGGCTTCCCCACATGAACAGGCGAGAACTGTTCACCTTCCCCACATGCCAGCCAGCAAGCAAGAAGACCGCAGTATCACATCATGGCCACATGGCAGCCTGTCAGCATGTAAGCGTGACAACATGCGAGCGTGCACTACAAAGCAGTGAGGCACTAGCAAGACAACTCCAGAAAGCAACCCCAAAATCCGATGTCCTCTCTCTGTTGTCCTCCTCGTGCGGGCTTCTTCAGGTCTTCATTGGCCGCGGCTGCCAGCCAATCTCCGGTCGTACTCCTCTCTTGTCCTCTCTTCCTCTTCTCCTCTTGGCGTGCTCCCCTCATGTTGTCCTGTTGTTTTTTTGGCGGTGTTCGTTCTCAGCTTGTCCTTCTTTTGTTCTCTTGGTGTGCTCACGTTTTTTTCCTTCCGTCATCCTTTTGTCCTCTGTTGTCCTGCTGCTGTCGTGGTTGCTTCCCGAGGCAGGGGCTGGGCGCGGCCGAAAACCACAACGACAACAACAATTCTTCCTGCATGACTAAGCTGTTTGGGGTCTATGCTGGTACAATGTCCTTTTACAAAACAAATCACTTGGTTCATGCAGGTCACCGTGGTCACCGTCCGTGGTCCCCATGGTCGAATTCTTTTCGCCACCAACAAAAATCCTCTCCAAGCGGCTCAAGGTACTTGCAGTCAGCCGCAAGGACTCAGCAAGTCGCGGTGAAGAGACAAGCACATATTTTCTTTGTTTCCAATAGCAATGGCCTCCAACCTAATAGCAATGGCCTCCAACCTAGAAGCGATGGCCTCCCAAGAAAGCACCCACAGGCTCAACGACAGGGTCTGCACTGGAAGCAGAGCAATGAAATGCACGAACTAGACCATGAGGTGGTTAATTAACCAGTCTATCGAACGGGGTTAAAGCAGGGAAAACTCATGATCTTCCACCAGTCTGAGCCTAGGATACTCTGCTACCTTTGGCAGCCCCAGTTTGGCCAACTGAGTCAAATTAGTAGGGTCACTTCCCCTCAAGAGCAAGAACAGAACATAGCAATCCAAGACAACTTGAACCGAAGAACTCGTTGTGTGACGGATCAAGCACTGAACCAAGTCATTGGAACGACTCGTCTGTCGACCAACCGACGTCTTCCAACAAACAACCGACGTCTTACATCACATGGTGGACCTGTCCCCAAGTCCAGTCAGTTGGAACTGGAAAGCCCAACACTTTAAAGCACGAGCTGGCCTGGTTGGTGCACATGCCGCTGTGTCCCTCAAACAATACACTTTTACTGCAATTTGTGTGGACAAAGCATCTTTCTCGGAATGGCGACCTTCATTTGCGTTTTTGAGCACATCGTGCACCAAGTCCTCCCTAGTGAACAGGACTTCAGTTGACGAAAACTTGTCCACACTTCTGAACAACTCCCAAAAGAACGAGTGTCGTTTGAAGGTGTCGTAGGTTTTTGCAACCTGTTTCGTGTGTCGATCGATACCCCCAGTCTCATTGTGCGTTTTCGACCCTTTGTGCGCATCAACCACGTTGCCTGCATGGCAGCAACATCTCGCAACTGGCGGATCGTCCGGATGGCCTCGATAGGGGCTTCGGGGTGTGGGCGAAGCGCAGGGATTCGTCTTGTTGGGAGCACGGACAACTGCAGACGGTGCATTGCTGAGTTTAGTTGAGACTACTAGAACGCTTGAGAAACGTGTCGGATTTGCTGATTGCCTTAAGAACCTTGTCTTGGGGTCTCTCTTTTGGGATGCGGAACGCCAAATACACCCCAGCTAACAAACGTAAACCCTGAAATCACCGGTGTTGAGCAAGAAAATGCTCTTCCAGAGCCATCTGCTTGTTGACACCGTCAAGCAGCGGCCTCTTCCAGGTCATCCACCGTCAAGCACAGGCCGCGTTCTGGCCATCGGCCTGGGACGTTGTTCATGGGTCCAACTGTTTGTCGAACACCGCATCTATGTTCATGCTAAAGGGACCTGGGCAAAATTCTCTGCAACTTTCTCTCTTTTTATTTCGTACAACTCCGAGTACCTGCTAAAAACCATGGCCCAAAAACATCAAGGGCCCCCGCTTTTTTGGGGGACCCAAAATTACATGAACTCGACCTTTTCGACCTTTTTTGTGGGGAAGAGATTACATGATCATACTTCATAGGGCGCTAACTTTCTGCACTGACGCTCCACCTTTGGCTTCATCTACCTGCAGGATAATTCAGGTTTGCCCGGAGTCTTGAGAAGCTTTGTTTGTCTTTGTTTGGGCAATCTGCGAAAACTCACGGCTTGGTCCATTTCCTGCACAAAGCCATGTTTCATCGTGTTTCTGCCCGTGGCCGGATCTTAGTTCAACTTGTAGAACATAGACCAGGAGTCACAAAGACGTGGGGTGGCGTGTAGTCTCATCCAGTGAGTGGATGACCTGGACATGGTGGGAGCAAAGACGAGAACACATCTCTTCCCGCCTTGGGTGATGGACCGAACGCTCACCGAAGCGCGAGGTGATTCGGCTTCGTTTCGCCCACAAGGCTTCCAAAGAATTGGACCAAGAAACCAAGGCTTCGAAGTGGACTTGTGAAGCTTTCTTCTGATTTGCATCCTCACTATGACAAGCACTTGCTATTTTTTTAACGAGATCTCTGGAATTTCCAACGCTTCCCTTCTCTCCGTCTCACTGCGGCCGACACACGGGCCAAAACTTCAGCTGTCCAAAGGCGCCACTTGCAAAGACGCCCTGGCGACGGCTCTGACGACGTCCTGTGGTCTGCTGGATGCGCTTCGTGCTTTCTGCGTGCACTCGACCTACCTGGCGACTACCCCATTGCCGGACAACTCCACACAAATGCCAGTTCCCCTTTTTCTGGAGGCTCTATGGATACCACGTGTTGACACTGCACGATGCCCACAACATGATCTGGCCTGGTTTGGAGATGACGCTCAATCTTATCAATGAACACAAAGAGATCATCATTAGCGTCATCACCGTGTCGTTAACCCATCATGCCGTCTCCCCGTCTGGATGGACGGGCCTGCACCGCTCCACCTCGGGTCCGCCGGCCGCTGTTGGGTTGAACATCCCACCCCACACGGGTTCGTTCCCTCTTGAGAGGTTGATGAAAGAAAAAAGGCCAAGTAACTTGAAGCCGGAACTTTCCGCACTCCCCCAAAGATTCCCTGAGCTTCAGGATTCACTGATATCTTTGGAAGAATTTCAGCATGAAGCAGGCATTGACACCACCAGCATATCTGGTTGGGAAGATCAACCAGCCACAGTGAAAAAACAAAGGACCCCTGGCAGGGACTTTTCAACTTCCTAGAATTCAAGACTTGGAATCTCACATCCCACGATTTTTCTGCTCTCATGATGCCTTTCCCAGGATGGTCCATATCGAACATGTTGGCCATCGAACCAGTCTTTGTCTTTTTTTGCGCCAGGGTCAAACAGGTCCTCGGCTTCTTTGGGGGGACCGAGCGGCCACAGTAGCACAGCAACAGTGACCACTGCAGACCAAAGCATGTGGCGTTGGCACTGGCCGGAGCATGTAGCCGTGGGTTGCTGCTCAAACACATGCTTCATAGCAAGGCGGAAGTCAATACTTTGGGGTAGCTTGAGGAGGAAATTTCTCAAAGGATCTGCTGATAAAGCCTGTAAAACTGTTGCCATTCTTGAAGCGAGGCAGCATTCAAAAACTCAAGGTTTGACAGAAGCTTTCCTTTCAAGTGTGAAAATGGTAACTTCATGTGTACCTGGGTGCCTATCTACGCTGAGCCGGGCATACAGCAGTGTCGCGCGTAATGTTTCTTCTCAGACCTTCATGTTCGAAAGCACTGAAGCAAGAAACCTTGGCTTCATAGCTGAACTCCTTCAAACCAACAAATGTCTCTTGGGTTTGATGCATTGAGAACTTCTGTGTAGGTCCTTTGCTCAAAGCCTTTGATTCGAAGCTGCATTTTTGGTCCACGTGCATACTGGCCGTTTCAGCTTTGTCCGCGCCCTTTTCAGCTTTGCTGTGAAGCCGATGAAACAGATGAAGAAACACAAGCTCTCATCATCTCAAAGCCACTTCAGATGCGTTCGCACTTCAAATGCCCTTCCAGCAGTTCCCCGTTTGCACTGGTTTCAACACAAGACTGTGGAAGCCTTCCCTACTGACCCCATCCATCAGCTACTTCTGTCAATTCCGGCTTGTCAAGTGTCTCACATCAATGTTCCAATCAGGACAAGGCATCCAAGACAGCAGGGTTGCAAGACACCCACCACACCTCGAACACGTTCTGATTCGAGAACTGCGATCTTCAAGGCCAAGCAGAAGAATGGCCATGCTCAGGCATGGACCTACGAGAGCGCTGCGAGCATTTGCATGCACACAGGTCAGTAACACAGAAGTGCAAAAGCAAGGTCTGATCAGTTCAGAATGTGGCTCCTACAGAGTATGTATGGGGTAGCTCTCGCTCCTTTTCTGCCAAAACCATTTCTAGGTCAAGAGGTTTTGACCTCGCGATTGCAAGGATCTATGCATTCAACGCTTGAGTTTTGTCAACCCGTGTGTGCGGGACAGCTTGACTGTGCCGCACCACAGGTCCATCTACGCCACACCTTGTCCTCCTACGCTACGCCGCTACGCACCCCATGAAACACCAGAAGCCCGGCGGTAGATGCGGCGATAGTCAAGGGGGAACAACGCCTTCATAAATTCCATCCTTACAAGGTGCGACACACAAACGCAATGGCTGGGGCACATGAAGAAACCGAAAAGACTGGCAGCAAAAAAGACACATCCGCCATGTCCCAAAAAGCACTATTATAGGGCAAAAATAATCCATCCCAAGTGTCTCAGTGATGCCACCATCGCCATTTTCATCGAAAGCCAGAAAGAGCTCGGTGGCTTCCGAAGGCTTCATACCTTCCAAAAAGGGCGATCAACCAAGCTGCAACGCGGAGCTCGGAACCCGAACCGGAGAGCTAAATGCGGTGATTTGTCCTTCGGTCTTCAGGGTCTGGGTAGCAATCCCCACAGGGCGGGTCGGGACCGGAGGCGGGTCGGGCTGTTCGAAGACGGAGCCTTTTGGGCGAAGATGGGAAGAAACGGCCAAGGAGGCCAAGGTGGTTCAAGGCAGGACGGAACATCCCTGTTGCAGGAAGAGTGGACATGGTAACAGCTTTTTTCATAAGGGAACTCCGGATCCATTCCATGGGCCAAGTCCAGTGAGCACCACTTGGCCGCACCAACAAACCGGTGGCTTTTCGTCCAGGGGCCAATGCGCATCTTGGCCACGAGATCGCAGAATTCGTCCATTTCCAACTCGCCATTGCCGTCCTTGTCAAATTTCGAGAACCTGGCACAAAAGAGGAAAGAGGTAGATGTTCAAGTCACTTCAAGTCAAAGTTGACAAACACTCTTCTTGATCTTGTCTTTGGATCCTTCCTTTTTCTTTTCTTCTTTTTCTTCAGACATTTTCTTCTTTTTCTTAGAGGACCCACGTGTGTTCTTCAAGTCATCTGAAGTCAATAGAACGTTGAAATAGATTAACGTCAGGGAACAACTTGGGCATGTGTTCTGCAGTGTAGCCCAGATTCTTCAGCTTTTGGCGGGTCTGCGTGATCAAAACGATTCTGTGCCGATCAGCCCATGTCTGGGACATGGCATTGCCCAGAACAGACAAAGGCATGGCCATGAAAAGAACCTTGGGAGAAAGCAGAAGAGAGCTTGAACATACTCGAACCAAGTGCACCTGCTGGTCTCTAGATAAAGTAGAAGCCTTCAGCACCTGTCTTCCTGTCTTGATAGGATTTTGTCCATCTTATTATGTTGCTTGGTGCTTGGTCGTCCAGAGAACACTGGTTACATTCTGGGCTTGGGTACACACTGGTCATCTCTGACGTCGACAAGACACACTGGTCAAGCAAAGAGCCCCGGCCATGATCTTTCCCACGGGAGACACCGGATTCATGTCGCAGGTTCCGACCGTGGTCACCGTCACAGTGCAGAGATAGATGGATGTACTCAAAGAATCCATGATTTCAGGCTCCAGGACATAGAAGGCACATCCAAAGACCAGCACAATCAAGCAAACGATGAACAGCAACAGCTTCAAAGCATCCATTGTTGTGGCCAGAACATGCAACAACAACTGCAATTTCTGGAACTTACGAATGAGTTTCAGCTGCCTCACGACAGGCACACAACCTTGGTTCCGCGCTGACAGAGTGATCACAAATCCTACTCATCCAAACTTTGACAGAACATGACAAACAATGAAGAAAACACATCTTAGTTGCAGCATGTGTTTCTAATGTTTCTCCCTCCTTCATGACTGAGATCTGTTCAACAGATTGTGTGAATTTTGCAAAAGGACCAGCAAACTCAAAAAGATTATCGTTTGCTTGGAAGCAGTACAAAACGTAGTGTACCACAGCATTCTCGTCCCTCGTGGGGGTTGCAATGCCAAAAGGAATCCGCACGGCGATTGGCAGGATGTTGCAAAAGTCAATGATGTTGTACCTTGAGGCGTTGAATGATGTTGAATGTGTTTTGCGTTTGGAATCCCTGGAGATCACTTTTCTGGTTGCTTTTACCTCGCTACCTCGCGTCGCTGTGGAATGGCGGGTACCTTTTTTACAAACCAATTCCCCCGCACCGGGTGGTTGGAGGGTCTTCCGAGTTCCAACCTGTAAAGATGCATGCGCGCGAAAAAGCTCCTAGTAGCGTACTTGTTCCTAGTAGTAAGGCCAGGAGCCCCTAGTAGCGCCCTTGCTTCTAGTAGCGATGCCCTTTGTTCCTAGTAGCGTCCTATAGGTGCTTTTTGTTCTGGTTCAGATTTGAGACCATGGCAGGAGAAAAACATACCCAGTGCAGCTCACGTTGGAAGAGCTACGGATTCTTCAGGAAGGCTCTCCTCTCGCGGCTTGAAAAAAAATGCGCCACCAACTCGATCAACATCAAAGCCTCAACACCCAGCTGGATTGCACCTTCAATGAATCTGGGCACCACGGGCTCTGCATTGGCTTGCCAAACAGTGAACATGATGGCAGCCGTGACAAAGTAATTCATGAACTTGGCATACAACCAGGCAGCTTTGCTTGAATCCTCATCCTGCATGAACAGATACAAGTCAGTGACCGTCGCCTGACGCTTGAAGAACTCCGAGAAGGAAGCGTTACTGGGCCTTTTGACTCTACATCTGTTGGGTATTGGCCCTTCGGGCATCTCATCATTGGGAGTCGAAGTGCTACTGAAACTTGCGGAAGACCTGGACTCCGAAGCACTGGAATCCTCTTTCCCCTCTCTTTTCTCCTCTTTTTTCTCCTTCTCCTCGTTCTCCACTTCTGGTTGCTGGGGATTATCCGCATTCTCCGGCTGGTGCGGCAGGCTCTGCACATCTGACACGGGGAACACACGTGGTTCCAGCATCTGCGGGGGAGTATGTGGACTGAAGGGCTGGATGGGTTTGGGAAATCGGGGTACTCGTGAGCCAGGCTTGGGAGTCTTCAACTCCAGGGAGTCTGTGCCCTGAGAAGCCTGAGAGGACTCTTGGGAGTCAGACATGGCTGTTTTGGACATGAAGCGCGGCTGCGCCACGCCTGTCATGATCCGAGGACCGTGCGGACCGTGACTGTGGGCCGGAGCCTTCGGACCCGTCCGTGGCTCCTCCGAGGAGTCCGAGTCGGAGGGAGCCGTTCTTCGACTGAGCATAACTCGATTGCGAGAAAAATCCATCCCATCGGCAACGATCTTCTTCAAGCCCAGTATATGAGGCTTGGTGGAAAGGGCCTCGCTCTCTGGGAGTTGTTTATGCTCTTCTTTGTCTTTGAACGTGGCCAAATCTCGTTCGTAATGCTCCAGGACTTCAGCCTTCAACTGCTGGATCAACTGGTCCAAGTGGTCTCTGAACGCGGAATCCATGATGAGACGGTGTTTTTGGCGCTGCAAACTCGAAAAGAAGCTGGTGAAGTTGCTTTTTCTCGTCGTGGTGTCTAGCGTTATTTTTGCAGGGCTGAACAACAACATAGACCTCCCCCCAAATGGGTGGGATATGTCATATGTGCTCTTTCTTCTCTTTAAATCTCACTACTCAACGGAACTGTGACAGCTGTGTGAGGAAAAAATTGACAATGAAAGACATCTCGTGCACGTCTTTTTCGAGTTGAGCTGGAAAGTGCGGTTGTCGACAACTTCGACAAATTGGCAAACGGTCTCCAAGACATGTCAATGAAGTGAACATTTGCTTGATCAACAACAGTGTTTGGACTTCAATGGTTGAGTCCTTGGTGATGAACATACCCCTACAGCTTCCCTGCCTCAGCTTGGAAGGCTTTCCTGCCCGTTCTGCATGCGTCGACGGATTTCAATTTACTTCATGGGATCTTGCTTTCCCTCGTGCTAGAAGAGCTCTTCTAGACAACTCAACTTATGTCCATCCAGAGATTTCTTTAGATAGGAGCAAGGACGCTACTAGGGGCTCCTGGCCTTACTACTAGGAGCAAGGACGCTACTAGGGGCTCCTTGCCTTACTACTAGGAGCAAGAAGCTGATAGAAACAAGAATTAACATTAATGTCTTTGTAAGCTTTCTTCGGACACGCCTCCCAGTCGAGGACGGAAGGCTCCACGTCGGTGTCTCCGGTGTCGTCCTTCACGTCGTCCCCCGTTTCCTGGTCGGACGCAGTGCGACCGGTGAAGCCACTGGAGACACATCGTTTCCACGTCGAAACGCGGGACCGGAGGCGGCGAGGTTTCGGTGTGTGGGGACTTCAACCGTCTTTTTGTAGCAACAAAACGGAGGGCGTGGGGCGGATATCAGCACAGGGATTGGAACCTTCAACAGGCCAAAAAGATCTTTCTTGGTTCATCTGAAGGGAATTGAGTCTACCTGAGCCTTTGCTGACACGCTAAGCCTTTGAGTGACTTCAAAAGAACGCTTCAGCAGGGGCATCGCTACTAGTAGCAAAGACACTATATAGGTGAAAGGATTCTATCGTTGTCTTTCTTTCGCATCCGTTTGACATCGCTCAAAAAGGTGCACGCAACGCGTGACTTGGAAGTCCCTGGGAAGGAGACGTATCTCTGAAAAGGCAATGATCCTCCAAAGCTTCCAACAAAAAGGAAGTTGCCTCAAGCGTAGAGCCAACTCCTTTTCATCTAAAGAGTATCCAGAGTGATGGCCTCCAACCTAATGGCGATGGCCTCCAAGGACACGCGGTGATCTAACCCCAAAGTTGCCTGCAAAGCACTTGCACTTCCTGTGAGCACGGACACACTCCATGTAACATCATGTAACTTGTCTTCTATGCAGTTGGTCCCATACTTGTGATCTTCCTTTCCGCAACGACTAGGACCCCAGAGAATGGGGATGTGATGGGAGTTCGTGATTCGCTCAAAAAGAGCCCTGCTACACCACTCCCTGCGCCATGACGAGCGCTGCTCATCCTCCTCATCCCATGCATGGCGTGAAAGACCTGGCAAAACTCGGCTGAAAGTCGGGGAACCCGAAAGTCGATCAGACTTGTCAAATCACATGGCCGTAAGTCCGTCTCATTTCTTCGTGTGTCAAATCAGGTGTTCCAGTGTCCCCCCCTTTTTTCTGGGTCTCATTTCGCGATCGATCGATCGATCGATCGATCTTCAGCGGCTGAATCACGATCTGACAGAAATCCCTCGTTCTTCGAAAAACTTCAGAAGTTGATTGCGGGACTTCCCATCGCTCCAACCACGGGCAGGCAACTGGACTGCTTTGAGATGCCTCATCAAAGACATGGCAGGGACCAAGCTGTGCAAATCCTCTCCAAGCATCTCACCAAAGTCTAACTCTTCAAAGAAATGTGCAAGGTTTGGCTGTTGCAGAAATCTTATGCTCAGGCACTGCGGCTTGTTGTCTCCTGAGCGCTTCAAGGGTCGACCCCTCGCCGACAGCCTCCGGCCTCCGAGCACTGTCTCGGGGCAGGGGCAGGCGAACATGCGGCAGCGCTGCCAGAGTGAATCCTGAACCACCTCATGGCTAAAGCGGGAGACCCTTCGAAAGCTGGCCAGATCGACGCAGCTGAGGAAATTCGAAATCTTCAAGCAAAGCACCTCAGGCAAGAACTCCTGGTGTCGAGGCTTCCGACGCTTCGGTCGCTTGCTCGGACGAGGCGAAACACAAAGCGCCCCTTCATTCAGCTGGTTGCTCGCCTTGGGCTTCTCTCGCTTGATCATCTGCATCCAGGCTCGGTGGCCTCTGCGTTCTCGCTGGGACGGAGACAAGCCTTTCAGGAGCTTCAGGGCACGTTGAAGGGATTTGCCGGACCAACCTAAGAGTTGACAGAGATCCTGAGCCGCTGCTGCCTCTTTGGGATCTCTCTTGGCCTCTGCTGCTCCCCTTTTCCCACCCTTCTTGCTTTCTTCCGGAGTTTTTCGATCCACTTTGGGGAATCCCGCATCTGAGCGTTTCCCGCGGACCCGCCGTTTGGCCGCTGGCGGCATGGCGATCAACTCAACCAAACAAGGTGGCTTGAGCCTCGAAAAACCCGCGGTGGCGTGGCACCTCTGTGTGACTTTCGCCATGTTTGAAACAGAGCTCAACTTCGACACACGTGTCTGCGCAAAACGACCAGCTACACTCTCCCAAACACAACCAGTGCCGGACTTGAATCTGCTTGACCAAATGAGCTGAAACGAGTCAGCATCACAGATGTTCAACTGCCAGAGCCAACGCTGCGCTGCACAGCCTGGCCGTGTTTTTGGGTCTTCTTTTCTCACCCTAATTCATGAAATCAACAGGAACAAAAACAACATATTATGTTCTTCTTTCTATTTATCTTCATTCTGTTTGCACGTATGTCTTTTCTTCGCACCACTCCAAGCCAAAAGGCAAGCCACCGTCCCTCAACGGCGCCGTCGCGACGTCCTGCGTCCGGACGCCTCGGATGCGATGCCGAAGGCCTCAGGTGTGGACTTGCGGTTTTGGCTAAGGCCTTCGATGAGAACCAGAAGCTACTAGTAACAAGTGCATCGCTTCTAGTAACAAGTGCCTTACTAGTAGTAACAAGAAGCTACTAGTAACAAAGGGCATCGCTACAAGGAGCAAGGACGCTACTAGCGGCATTAGAAGCCTTCGATGAGAACCATTGGGCCTAATAGCCATGGCCTCCAACGGAGAGCCAAAGGATCCGAAGTTTTGTTGGGCAACAGCCTTGTTCCAAAAGGTGAGTTTCAGTGGGTGAGCACCAATTTTGGGTACAAGGGGACACATTTTGTTGGATTCCTCTGCAAAATGTCTTCAATCCATTGACAGCGGCCTGTCTTTCTTGCGAATTCAAGTCCATATCGGGGAGTCCATGTTGGGTGTGTTCATCCGTTTTGGCAAGAGAATCAGATCCCCAGATCCCCTAACCCCGCCTTGCCAAGCTGGCACAAAACGCAGCACATTGTGCGGACAAAGAACACTGGTACTCTTTGACCGCTTCTTGATCACCAAGCACGCAAAATGAGACGGAATACACTCTAACTCTATATAACTATGTGACCCATTGGGTTCAAATGGAGATGGCAATTTTCAAGAAGCCTCAAGAGGACTTCTGAGTGGAATTGCACAGCTGCAAAGAAACCGTTCTGGCTTGAGCCAACATCTTCGACGACAAGCAAGTCGCCCCCCAAATATCACATCTTCGGTAGCACAAGATACTTAGCATGTCAACCGGTCTCAAACCGAGCTGGGAGCAACGAGCACATACGAGCACTTGTTCACCGACCTGCCGTCGTACCTCACACGCCGCGTACCTCACACGCCGCTCTCTTGGAAAGCTGACTGCGCGTGGTCGACGCGGAGCGTGTCTGGGCCAGATCGTGAGACGGTGACGTCTGTGCGGAATCGGCGTGCGTCATGGATCTTCGGCCACACATCTGGAGGCGGGAGCGGAGGATTTGGTGACGTCAGGGCCGGAGCTGGTGTAACAAGGAGCTGGAGACGCATGTGATCAAGCTACATGAACAGACGCATGGCAGCCACATGGACATGAAAACAGAAGAGGGAGGTGAGATAAGATTCATGTTTTTACGCTTGTGAGTTGAGCGTTGCACTTCTGTCTCTTGACATCTTCCCTGACTTGTGCTCTAGAAGGTACTTTTTCCATGCTAGACTGAGTGAGAGAGAACCTGCTATAAGCCTGTCACACTGAACAGAGTTTCAACCACGTGTCAACCTCTCACATGGTGCTGGAAGAATATCCTCTCGACTTGCCATGACTTCCAGGGCTTACGGCTTACGACCTCCGGTCGACCTCACAGCCGGTCGACGGCTTTGGGGTGACGACGTTGGTCTTGGGGCGGAATGCCCAACCCATCTGGGTCACCGGAAATCCTCCCAATTGCTCAAGAGACGCAGCTGCCAGCTGCCAGCGCAGCTGTAGCACAACAGTGCCAGCAAACCAGCTGTTTACAGCTCCAAAAATCAGGCTCTGTCGAAGATCCCTGGGGCCCAAGGATCCATCGTTGGGTTCTGAGGTCCCAGGAAGAGTGAGAGCCGCCTGAGCTGACATCGAGGGATCGTGGGCCTGAATACTCCGCTTCCAAACTTTCTTCGCCTTCTCAAGAGAGCCGCCATACTTGGAGGAGGGAGGCAAAATGGACCTCCATTGAGGGCTGCTAAGCTATGATGCTGCTCCTTCTGTATCGGATGGCTTTGATTTCTTCCTTCAACCAGAACAGGATGCGTGATGCGTGTGTGCAAATCAAATCGACTGTGCCCAGTGCCCCCCCATGATTTGGGTGGTGTGAGAAGAAAAGACGATCTTAAAGATCGTGATCTGCTTTGATCCTTTCCGTCTTTGCGTATCCTCCCATGACTTGAGGGGGCCTCTGCAACAATTGCATGTGTAATGCTGAAGACAAACACCACCACATCCCACTGCCTTTTTCGAAAAACCTACTGAAACCTCTACAATTGGAACATTCGACATTTTATCACAACGGTGCTCATACCCCCACATCCCACGTGGGTGCTGCGTCTCCGGAGCGTCAAAAACGCTCCATCGCTAGACATCGAATGGTGTTCGCCTCGCAACACCACAAGGTGCCCGGGACGCCTGGAGAAGATGCGCCGTTCTCCCCAGGCACTTTGGATGTCGATGCTGGCTGAAGTGGCCCCGTTCGGGGCACCAGGTTTATCCAATGACCGCCTCAAAACTGAAGAAAGGGGGTCTGGAAGAAAGGGGTGGATTCCAAACCAACTCCACATCTTCCTGAGCACATCTTCAAAACGAATTCTGCTCCACCCCTTTGCAACGCCTGCTCCAGTCACTGGCTCCCCTCCGGAGCAGCAAAAGACTTCGTGTCTGGGCACGAGGGTTGCATCCGTGATATCAGATCTCCAAACCCCGGCGCAGCCCCGAAACGACGAGGGCGAAACACTTATGAGTCGGTGTGAGACTGCTGATTGGGGAAAACCTGCCACGTGGGGTGTATATAGCTAGCTGAAGCTGTTTGATGGCAACTTGTGGGTAAGCATACACCAAACAAAGCGAAGGAAAAAGGAAGTCTTAACCACATCCACAAAGAAATCCAATTGCCCTTCAAGCAAAGAATTCACCTAGTGGGTCCGTGTTCAGTGCGCCTCACGTCCGACCCACGTCCAGTGCGCCCCCGTAGATGGGCTGCGACGACCTTCATCCTTGGGATGAGAAGACTCACGACCTTCATCTCGGCAATTCGAGGCATGGACCAAAGGGCATCGCTACTAGGAGCAAGGACGCTACTTACTAGGGGCGCTCCTGGCCTTACTACTAGGAGCAAGAAGCTACTAGTAACAAGCAGAAAAAGATATAAACAATTACGCCAGAATTCAATAGTTGTGCAAATCATCGACGACTCTTCGTGCAACCCTTTATTCTTCCATCGGATTTGGAACATGCAAACGCAAGGGGGGATGGCGCCATGTTTTTTCTTTTCTTTCCTCTGTGCCCATCATTGATGCTGGATGGTCACAATAGAAGATGGAAATTCACCACGTCATCTCCATCTACTTCTCTTCCAGGACACAAAAACCTATGAGCCTGGGGTGCTCATCTGCTCATGGCTTTGGTTCAGTTCCGAGTTCAAGCAGGTGTATCGGTCTGCTGTTCGCTCGGTGCGCTTTTCACTCATCCTCTCCGCATGACTTCCTGGACAAACCACAAGGATCGTGAACACCCCCCTTTCCACGGGGCACTGCCATGGTTTCCAGTAAGGTTCATGGTTCTTCCGAGGATTTGGACACCCAAACTGATTTGGTTAAGAAACCAAAGTCTTCATCTTGCTACACCACACATTACACGTCCACCCTCGCCGGTCGTCGCTCGTCTCCAAAAAAACCCCACGGGGCCGGCGCCCGCGGTCGCTGTCCCGCCCCGTCCGGCGGTGCGTCGCGGCATCGGCGGTGCCGCGCGCAGCGTCTTCCGGGTCGGGACGCGGGGAGACCCGGGGGTTTGATCCGGCAGCGTAGTGGTCACGCTGCCGGAAAGGAGAAGGATCTTCAGGAAGTTGTGGCAAGGTTGCTTGAAGGGTGGAGTCTGCTGTTTGTACTCGCCGCAGGGCAAGACTGTTTGGAAACGATTTCCAACCTGATCCAAGGCATTTCAACGAAATGGTCGTCATTGAGTCTTCAAACACTTACCATGGGGCAAGGACGCTACTAGGGGCTCCTGGCATCGCTACTAGGAGCATTCTTACTAGGAACAAGAAGCATTCTTCTCGCTCTTTCATGGGTCAGACGTGGTCTGGTCAATCCATCCGCACGGAAGTCGTACTTCGATCGAGGACCCTCTCCAAGTTTCGAATTCGCCGCATTCGCCCGTTCCGTCCGTCGAAACGGCGCAGGTGTCACGGCCATGCACGCGGTTCCAAGCAGCGGAGGAATGGCTCTATCGAACAAATGGCTCAATACCTGTTAGGGGACCCCCTCCAGGCTGCAGAGGACAGACCCTACAGAAGGGGCATTGGGCTGAACAAAAAACATGATCACTGATCACTAGCTTTGGAGCTTTTCAGGGGCTGTTTTGGCCCCTAGGGCCCCGGGAGTTTCTGTTCCGGAACCAGACTTGCTTGGATCTTTCTGACATGGTCTCCATCCTAGCCAGATGCCCAACAAGGATGGAAATAAGGGGCTCCAAATGGCTCTACGCCACAAAACCATTTCCACAACAACAGCTCATATATATACTGCATACATGTATATATATAATACAGTAGAGATATCCTAGAAGTCCAAAGACTGTTCTTGGAAACCCCCGAAGTACATAGCCTGACTGTCGGGTACCTGACTTGATGCCGCCACGGTAGCGGCGCTGCTTCTCCAACTTCCTCACCGCCGCAGGACTCGCCCCCTCACACGCTTTTACACACTTTCTACTTCGGGTCCCGCCTATACGAGCAAAAACAGCCTGCGTGGGCCCTCCGTGGCATTGGTGGCATTTGGCATCCTGAGAGCTGCGGAGACGTGGCTCAAAAAGCCAATTGGTGATATGTCCTGATCCTTTCACAATAGACAATGCGTTGCATGTGCTTTCAGCCCATGGGGCCCAACAATCGCCTTCCACTGAGAATATTTCTTGCCATCTTCAACTGAAACTTCGGGGGTCAGAAAACACGTCGTTGGAACTCAGGACACATGGACGCTTGTTGCGGCATAGCTTTTGCACTGATCTCCTTGTCCATCTCATGTCACTTCCATGCTGAAACGTGGTTGGTGGTTTCAACTCGCTTGAACATAATATGAGTCAGTGGGTTCAGTCATCCCAATTTCAAACATCCGAAACCACCACGACACATACCGTCCGTCCCTCATGTGCTGCGTAGCTCCAAGGATCAACCAGGCGACCAGCAAACACTGAAGAAAGGAATTCATTGCTCGGGAGAAACATGGTGTTTTCATCTGCTTTCATTGCTGCTTGAAGGCAGCGCAAAGAAGGGGGGCTGAGCTCAAAAATGAACCCACAGACCCTCTTCGTCTTATTCCAGATTGGTAACCTGGTAACCTGGTAGGGACTTCTATAGAGAGGTTTCAACGCTACCTACGCCACAAGAAACGTAACCCAACGAACGTGGCCATGAAAAGGTGCGTGGGGTTCTTTTTCAGGTACACTCCCTGAAATTTATCGAAGTGGAACAAAACCACAAAACCACCCCTGAAAGACCCTGGTTCTCTACAAACAGTTGGTTTTCCACTTCCACCTTCATCACCTGCAAAATACCCACATCTTTCAACCCCCCACCACCCCACGCCGTTTCTCTTCGCGGCATCTGCACCGAGGTGTTCTGTGCCACCTCGGAGGTGTTCCTCGGAGCCGTGGGGGGCGGGGGTTCCGAGTGCCCTCGAACTGGAGAGGACGGGGAAAGTGAGATGGCAGACAAAGGCACTCCAAAATGAAGACCCTATAAGATTGGGTCTTGGGATTCAGAGGAATGTGGGGACTTCAAAGGAATGTGGGTGGATGCGCATGCGTGCCGGGTAGCAGCCTGCCGAAGAAAGATGGAAAGGAACGTGGTTGGACCCACGAACGGCAAAACACTGCACTTGCCGAAGAAAGAGCGCTTGTTGATTGTAGTAACAATGTTCGCTATTAGGAACAAGTGCATCGCTACTAGTAACAAGTGCCTTACTAGTAGTAACAAGAAGCCATTAGAAACAAGTGCCTTACGAATGCCTTTCGTGTGGAAGCTGAGGTATTGCTTTACCACCCTTTGCAACGAACCAGATTGTGTAAGCATGTCTAAAGTGCCTATCAAAGGCTTGTAGGTCTTCCGTTCTTTCCCAATTGAGAACCCTATTTTCCAAAACCTTTCGAAGCAAAGCTGCCGCAAAATCGTCGCCAACAGAACCGTCCTGAGAGTAAATAATAGGAACAAGTTTATTGCAACTGCAGTCCCTCTATTTTTCGGTGAGAAGAACTGAATGCTAACACTTGGTGGAAACCACGAACCACACCACATCGGCAGGAGCTGCACCGTGCAGCGGCGCAAAGCGGCCATGTCTTGTGGCCCAGCCACGTGCTCTCAGTGGAGGATCTCCCACCGAGCCAGCGAAGGTAGAGGTAGGCCTGGAGTCTCCCAGACCGGGGAAGCAAGGCCAAGGACGAGGTAGCAAGGAAAAAACAAAGACGCTTTGATCGTCATTCCCTAGCCTAGCGGGCCCAGCACGCCTAGCTTGCCTTCCTTTTTGTAGGGATCCTTTTCAGCTTGGGTGTTTCAACAGCTGAGGCTCTCCCAGTTGCGCCGACCAAAGGTTTTGATAGTCCTCCCGCTTTCAAGACACTGGAACAAAGAACCCAACACACTTTTCGCTTGTTTTGGAGGCCGCCGCGTTCTGTTCTTTCCCTATTTGGTGGCCACCTTGCGCCTCGGCCCTGGTATCCATCAAGGTTTAAAACCCTTTGAAGGGAAGCAGCCACACTGAGCGGATGCTTCGAGGCAACACTCCAAGAGAGTGATCCCGCAAAAAGTGCAACCAGCACTCTCAGTTTGGGAAAGCAAACACTGAACAATGCATATTTCAACCTGCACCCCTGACTCGAACAAGCTCTTCGACATGGAGGCTGGAATGCAGACTCAAACATCGCAGGTGGTGTGTCTGGCAGTCCTGGAACAGGAACTGTGGAAGTGGCATATTGGATTTTTCTCCAGCTCAACAGGAACCTGCTCTTTGCTTGGATTCACTGTCGTTCTGAACCAAGCTCCATCTCCAAGCGCTTTTCACCGGGTGCACACACATGAGAGAGAGAGAGAGAAAGAGCAAGCTCTCCCCTAAGAAGCAACACGGGGACAGGGACTCAAACAGAAAAGGCAAGAGCTCTTCTAGTTTGGGGGCTCTGTCATCCACTCCCAGGAATCTCCATCTAGGCCGAATCAATTGGGTCTGGGAACACACCTTTCGCTGACTGGACACTCCAAATCCAAAGGACCGACCCCCAAAAGAGCAAGTCGAACCGTGACAACTCGGAAAGATCGACGCTGCCTGCGAAAACCCAACTGATCGGTTCGAAAGCGCGGCCTGCGAACGCTGAAAGCGCCACATGCCGCGGTTCATCTGATGCTGCACATCACCTGCCAAAAGCAACGTCAAGCGGGTTTGGGTTCGATGATGGTCATATCATATGCAACTGCTGATGCGAAGCAATCCAAGCAAAAGAAACCTCAATTAGTGCCTCTTGAGTGGGAAGCTCTCTTGAGCACAAGAATTCAATTGGTCAAACGAAACCCATGAACGGCTTGCTGTATCCCTTTCCAAGTGTCACAGAAAGCTGAGCTTGCTTCATTTTAATCACAGAAGACTGATCCGAGGCTTGCCATAACCGTTCGAATATATGGGAAGAAAAGGCTCGGCTTGACATTGAAAAAGGTCATTTTCGCCTTTGCTCATCCACTTGACCTCGGAAATCTCATGGTCCGGCCCTTTGCCGGGGTTTCCGTCCTGCACGTCGCGACCCGGTGGCGGCGACATTCGGACCTTACCCACGAAAATAGAAGGAACAAAGGAGGGAGGTCAGTACCAACACCCGTGATTTGGATTGGAACATGCATGGTCAGGCGATGTCCAGTTCAACCCACGCAGTTCGCCGACACCGTGGACTGTCCTGGCCTTGCGTGGTTTGTTTCGGGTCACAGGGAGTTCACTGAGCTTCAGACGGTGGACGTTTGAGGCCGTGTGTCTGATCTGTGGTGAAGACTCGTTTTCTCGGGTTTCTGGGCACTTCTTTTGGATTGCTGCGAAAAAAACAATTCATTGCCGAGTTTGGCAATCAACGGGATGCCTGCCCTCCTATCCTCTCCAAGAACGATCGCTCAAGAGCAACAGGGACCCAAAGCAAACTCAAAGCAACACCTTTTGCAACTACAGCCTCACCACGGTTCCATGACCCCGGCCATTCCATGGATTTTGGGTGTGCGAATCAGGCCATCCAAGATCGGCGACAGACGTGTGTCTGAGACCCGGAATCCCGCCGGAAGCCATTCCGGTCCGCGAGTGTTCCTCGGGTTCTCTGGTTCCCTATTTCGTCGACGTAGAACCCACCTTTTCGTCAGTGGATCGTGGATCTCTCGTCGCGCCCTGGACGGTACCGAAGAGACATCCCAAAGCCCCGGAGAAGAAATTTCAGGTCTCCTCGAGGAAGCACTCGTAGATGTGGAATCCCCCGCGCACGGTGGCCAAGTGTTTGCCTCCACGGAAGGTTGGGTTTGGACGAAATATAGGCGGGAGGGTTGGAGCTATCTAGCTATCTACGGCATTCTTTTTTGTAATGTTTGCTTTGACAACAAAAACCAGTCTTTCTTTCTTTTTCAGAAAGAAGCGTGCATCTTCACCAGGATCTCTCTTTTTGGGCATGTAAGTAGCATAGGTCATTTGATTTGCGTCCCGCATCCGAACCTTTTCTGTGCAGTAAGTTGCCACCGCACTCCCATAGCCTTCTTTTGGAGTTTTCATCTTGCCTGGCTTGTCCTCTCCCAAGAAAACTGCTTAGCTGCCAGGTGGGTCATCTTTTCGGCTTTCTGCCCCCCGGTGAAAAAAACAAACGGACTAAAGAGCAAACAATCCAGAAGATCACCAATCCACTCACACCAACATCATCCCTTAACAAATATAAACACGCACACACACACACACAAAAAACAAATTCACTTGAGGTTGCCACATCCTTTCCACAAAGGATAGCCGTTTCCACCGTGTTTCCACCGAGGACTCTTGGCCCTCACGCCTGCGGTGACGCGGTATCCGGACTCTTCCCAGGTCTCTCGAACCGCGGTGCGGGAGGCCGGCTCCTTCCAATTCGTCTGCCCTGTCGAAGAGGGTGAAGGCGAAGAGGGTGAAGACGATCAACGACAGATATGGATGAAATTATAGATGCACATGAAATGTATATATATATATAGACTAGAGAATCTACTGTAGAGTTGGGTGAAGACGGTGCCTTTCGTGTGTGGAAGCATAGCAGTTCCACAGTGGGGAGTTTGGAGTGTATAAGAGTTTTCCACTTCATGTAGGGGTGGTGTTGAGTCCCAACCGGATGTGACAGGGGCACCCCGGGGAGTCCCCAGGGCCCTACCCAAGTTCGATGACAAACCCCCATGGAATGATGTAAAAGACATTGATCTTCCCAACATGGAAGTGGACAAGCCTGTTTTTTGAGGATTTCATGGTCTTTCCAGCGGTCAGGACGTCCACTTCGAATGGCATTGAAGCAGCCCATCCGGCGCGGCACCCTGGTGTCGCAGTGTCAGCCTAGCTAATGGTCTGTGCCGCCAGGCATGAGGCATGTGGGTGATGCAGTGTCTCCTTCTTCAAGGACCTTCCTCTACCTTTCAGCATGGTTTGCCCAAAAGGCCTTTCACTCAAACGGCCAGCGTGAGATTCCTCAAACCGTGAGAACATGGCATTCATCATTCATCTTGGCACATACCGATGTGCCTGACCTCATGAAGAGTTTTACACAGGGCTTCCCTCAAAGTATATATAGTATTATAGTAGTAACAAGAAGCTACTGGGGGCTCCTGGCCTTACTACTAGGAGCAAGGATGCTACGGCTCGTAGCAAGAAGCTATATAATTTCAGGGCTTTCTGGCTTCTTCACGCCAGTCAGCATGACTTGTACGCCATCCCTTTTTGGCGCTTTCCACCCCCAAAATCGCCGAGAAAACGCCAGCGTGAGCCCTACCCAATGACGTGAGCCGCGATCGGAGCTCAAGTGCCTTTGGATTTCAAGAAAGCCACCCCGAAGCTTTTGATCAACGAAGCTCGCAAACACGCTCATTTCACCGGTCTTCCTTTTTGTTCATCACTCCTCAACCGGCACTTCCCGGTTTTATCTTTTTCCACGTGGAACACATCGCACGACCCGGATTCTCCCGGATTCTCGGCACCTCCAGGGATGTCGTACTTCCGACCTTCAGAGCGAGCGTGTCGTACGTCCGCCACGTGGTGGGAGACCATGGGGTATGAAAATAGGACCGGAAGAAGGGAAAATCGAGTTGAGTCTATACCCATTTGACTCTGAACCAAGACGCAAATTCCTACAAACAGGACAGAACTCCTTCTTCCACACTGATTGAGGTTGGTCATAGCCGACTCAGGATGCTCAGGATGCTTCAGGTTTGAAACTTTGTTCTGCACTGACTCGAACTTATGCCACCTCCACCTGCACTCGACCAGTTGTCAGTACTTCTGGGTGGAAACAAAGAAGACTTCTAGCTCCCCGATGAAAAGCGGCTTCAAGGCTTGTTCAGGAACCGCAAAAAGACCCGCAGTCGACAGGAGAGAAACACCAACGATCACATGAAGAGAAATCGCGGGCCTCCAGCGTGCAACAATCACCCTTGCCCATCAGTCAAAACAGGCTATCTTTTGGGGGCAAGAAACACATCGTTTTTTCGACGGTAGAGCTTTCAACAAGGTAGAGGTATTTCCTCTAGCGCCAGTTTCCGTTCCAAGCTCTTCTCACCTTGTAGCTGCAAGAACGAAACATGCTCAGAAAATCACCCAACAAGCAAAAAACCCACAGCTTTGTTCTCTCTCATTCCAATTTTTGACGACAAACCCCAACAACACTCAGCTTGTTGGAAAAAACCTACCCAAACACCTACCAACCCGGAAAATGAGAAGTTCGGCACCTCCAAACCACCGAGCGAGCGGCCATCGTAGGTGAGCTTCACTGCGAGCATCTCGTTCCCCCGGCGCACGAAGCAGCCCGCGTGGCCGGCACCCTGGTGCCCCAGGGCCTGGTGGCGAGGGAGAAGCGAGCGGAAGAGGCCGCCATGTGGCCAAGCACCATTGCTTTCAAGGGTCTTTAGCGAAGAACCAGTGTTTTACGGATTTTTGGGCACGATCAAAGACCAGGTGAACCATTTTTGGAACACTCTTGGGGGCCCATTATGGGCCTATTGTTGCCGCACTATGGGCCTATTGTGGCAAACAAAGAACCTCAGCCCCTAGTAGCTTCTTGCTCCTAGTAGTAAGGCACTTGTTACTAATAGCTTCTTCTTGCTACTAGTAAGGCACTTGTTACTAGAAGCGATGCACTTGTTCCTAGTAGCTTCTCTTCAAGGTCCCGGAAGAACCGCATTCCTCTGGCGTCACGTTGCAACCGCCGAAAGACGTTCGAGACCTCGGACCGGAGGCTCGGACCTTGGGCGTCACGCCCCAGGTATGGCTCGCTCCCCTGGATTTCACGACTCGCCCAATGGATTTTCACCCCTTTGTGACTCCTGGATGTGTGTTCCTTTTTTTTAGAATGTTTATTTTTTTTCAATGCGATTGAACGAAAGGATTTGACAACACCCGGACGTTCCCAAACTCTTCGAAGGGTCTTCTCGGAAGGCTCGGTAGAGTCCAGTGCACGATGACTCGATTTGGGCACCACCGAATGTGTTTCGGACTTGTTCCGGGATGTCGGGTAACATCAACAAGAAGCTACTAGGGGCTCCTGGCATCGCTACTAGGAGCAAGGACGCCACTAGGGGCTCCTGGCCGTACTACTAGGAGCAAGAAGGCTACTAGGAGCAAGAAGCTACTAGACCATGCAGATGGTGACAGGGTGTGCAGGCCTGCGCCATGATCCCCAGCATCAATGAGACGCGGCTGCAGCTGCCAAATACCTCAGCCAGGTCTGCTCGGTGGAGCTGGGACCAGATGCGTCCCCAACGACTGGTCTGGGAGACAGCGTCCTTTGCAATGAAGACGGTGGAAAACACCACAAAGCACCCATGTGACTTGCTCACTGACTTGCTCCTGTCAAGTACAGTAGGATCAAGTATCTGAATCTTCCAAGTCATCCTCCCAGAAAGCACCGGTCCTCCTCCTCCTCCGCCCTCTCCTCGTTATTCAGTTTCTGGCCATCTTCCCTAGTGTAATAGCCATCTAACCCCGAAATCACCACTTTGAAGGGTACAACAACAACTGCTGTCGAGGGTCTAAGATTTCTCAAGGCAGGTTGATTTGACTTCGGTTGGATTCGATTCTCTTGTCCTTCAGAAGGTCGAATGCAACGAAGGAAGAACCATCTTCTGTCCGAATGTTGGCACTCTGAGCTACTAGAAGCCAAGTCAATTTCCTCAATAATTCCTGACATGATTTTCGGCACTTCCAGAATGACCATCCCCGCCGCCACCCTGCGCACACCACAAGCCCTTGATGCAGCTGGAAGGCCATTGCTACGAGTTCTGTTCCTTGCAGAAGAGAACAACCGGAGCAAGCCAAAAATGGGCTGCGAGTGGTGCGACCTTCGACTCATCACCAGCGGATGAGAATCATTCATAAAGCAATGCAGCAAGGCTCTGAAACTCTGAATTCGTGGCTTCACTGATGGTGAACTCATGAGGGGCCTAGGGTGAGGGTCATCTGCCTTCTACCTGACTTACCCTTCTACCTGGACAAGTCCAGTCAGTGGCCATCCTTCGGTGGAAAGCACTGCTTCGCCGCGTGTTTTCTCAACGTCGCTGCAGGCGGGCAACTTCGCCGTGCGGGTACCTGAGAGCAAATGAAAAAGAAGCAGTGAGTTGGCGGGCGTTCTTCCTCCTCCTCCTCCTCCTCTTCTTCTTCTTCTTCTCTTGATTTCGTTCCTTTCAGTTGAAAGGGTACATGTCGCATAACTCAGGATTGGTTGTTGTTCTTGCAACGGACGAACCACCGCCACAGATTGAACTCCGACTTCGGTGGCAAGTTCCGCCTCGCAGCTTCTGCAGCCACCGTCCTGCCCGAAGCTGTGCCACGTACCTGCGCAGCCACGGTATCAACCTACCTACTGTTGATGCACTCCCGAAATCCCCAACATCCCACCAATTTAGAGGGGTTCGGCCGAAACTTAAAAAAACAAAACATGTCTTCCAGCAGTGCCCACTCCAAGGGGTCAACATCAAGACTTTGGGGATTGCGGAACTACCCATTTTTCACCGGTAAACCTTTTTTGGAAGACGCTCTGGTGAGATTTCTCGCCACCTTTCGGAGTTCCCAAACACCCACAACGAGTTGGTGATTTTCGTTTGACACAACTTCAAACACATCACGAACGGAGCTGTCCTGTCGATTTGGCTTTGGGCGGGCGGTGGATTGCAGCAAATCAGAAATCAGTTGCTCAGGTTCTTCCTCGATCAATAACTCTGAGCCTCGATGCATTAAAAACCCCTCCCTCTCTGCCCCAGGCATCTTCCAGCCAGTCTGGGGTGTCGATTCGCTCTTTCTTTCATCTTATTCATGCAGCAGCTGGATTCCGGCTAAACGTGTTGTGCAGCTCATCGGTTTGATGAGCTCAGAATCAGAAGCAACAAGCACAGGACCTCAGCGAATCAAGGACTCAGCGACGTGCTTCAACAGCTCTCAGCAAGCAAACACCTCTCTATGTCAGATCATGTCTCTACCAGTGGAAACAGGGATGCGGGTCCCGCGTGGTGGGCTTGGGGGACCATCCCCTCCAAACAGGTGTTCGACATTCCACCAGGTCGATATTCCACCGCCGTCATGTGCAACCCGTCGGGTTGAAGCTGGCCGCAGTGCACAAACGGTATGTCGACAATCCGTCTTCTCCCCCCAAAACACACGAGTCACCCGCTGAATCAATGAGGCTGCACTTGGATGAAAAGGCAACTTTTGAAGATCCAACTGCTCTGTTCCCAACTTCACCCGATGTCTGTTCGGCTTCGTCTTCGGCCCCCCTGCTGTGGCGCTAGCATCTTTGGAGACCGCCGAATTGGTGAGTGCTGAGCGCACGCCGCACAGGTCGAAGTCTATTTGCTCTGGGGCGGGTAGGACATATGCGCATCATATCACCCTACAGGTCAGGAACTGACCTCATTTTACTGTAGTTGATCATGCAAAAACACTACTTGATGAACTAAAGGACCAGCCTTTTACTGGGTCAAACTGACCTGTTTCACGATGTTCCACTCACCTGCTAAGATGCTAAACATGAAGGGCCACGGTGATGGTAACGGATGTGGAGGGAGGAGTGCTTTTCTCAGCTCTTTAGGGATAACCACACCAAACGATACAGCTTCGAACTCCATCTCCACAGATTGTAGCTTCACATGGCAACAATGAATGAACAAATGCAGGCTGCAAATGCAAGCAACTTATTCTACTCTACTCCACAGCCATTGCACTCACTAGCGAAGAAGCCTTGTCGGTCTGGGGTGTGCTTATCATCCACTGGCTGGATGGGACAAAACTACCACCCCTCCCTTGCTGGAACTCCAGGATCGATTAGACATTTCCATTCTCCTATTGTTGTTTGATCTGATTTGATCTTGAAGCAAGCTTCAAACACCGCGAAAAAAGCAAAAAACACATAACTCTTTCAGTGCACATGCTGTATTCCGAAGGGCCCGAAGATCCGAAAAGCCCGAGCGACTCCGTGAGGGTGAAGTGAGGGGCCAGCACTTGGCACACATGGAGGACGAGGATCAAAGCAACCAGCTTATTGTTTCTAATAGCTTTTTGTTTCTACTGGTAAGGCACCTGTTACTACTAGCGTGGCACTTGTCACTAGTAGCCATGGTTTCTCATCTCTTTTGTTTTGGTTCCACAGGCGTTTTTTTTCCCGTTCCGGGGGGTTGAGTGCAAACAGGCAATGACCCATCTGCGCCCAGAAGTCGGTCCACCAAAACCACCGAAGACAAACCGTCCTCCTTCAGTCCTCGGTGGAACCCGAGGACTGAATAAGCAAACAGGAGTTCTAGTCGATCATTGATGGATCCATGTACTTCCTCCAAATCGGTTTTGGGATCTCTTTCTTCTTCGATCTTCTCTCTCTCCACGACCTTCCGCCACCACCGAACGTTCTTCGGGGCCGGACAAAGCCCGTTGGGCTCATCTCCCAGGTTGAAGCCAGGCCTCGACGCGACTCGATGGGCGACTGGGCGACTTGCCAGGAGCTATCTTCGTAGCTTCTTGTTACTACTAGTAAGGCACCTGTTACTACTAGTAAGGCACCTGTTACTACTAGTAAGGCACTTGTTCCTAGTAGCTTCTTGTTACTACTAGTAAGGCACTTGTTACTAGAAGCGATGCACTTGTTACTAATAGCTTCTTGTTACGTAATATGCACATAGTAGCGTCCTTGCTTCTAGTAGCGATGTCCTTGTTACTACGTAGTAGCGTCTTTGCTCCTAGTAGCAATGCCCGCCCTTTGCTCCTAGTAGCTTCTTGTTATTCGGTGTTTTTCGGTCTCCTCTTTTGGAGCGCCCACATGATTGGGCCTCAAATGGTTGACACATAGAGCTAGTCATCTTCAATGCTCTTCGATGTTCGTGCTGGGGCTGCGGTTCAACTCGCTTCGGCCAACAGACACATGGGAGCAGTTGAACGGTGCACCAGTGGCCTTCCAGCCAGAACTCGGTGACAGGCCTCTTCACCATGGCACCAGTGCCCTTTGTCCACCCCGCTGAACGCCTTGCCTCGCTGGTTCGGCCCTGCGCTTGGCTTCGTTCGCGAAAACCGCGAAGGCAGGTCCCCCGACATGGCGAAGGTGGCCATGACCGCGGGGTCCGTGATCTGGGAACAGCCCTCTGGGTAGTTGGGACCTCGTCAGCGGTCGGGGAGCTGGTCAAGCAAAGGGGGGAAGGGGATGGGTCAGGGATGTGTCGGGGTGGGTCTCATTTGGGGGGTCAGCGGGGCGCTTGGAGGAGTGACATGGACAAGTTGGTGAAACTTCAGCGTGAAACAGTCGAGAATTGACTATTATAATCATATATCGTGTTTTTTTTCTGCTTTTTCCCTGGCAGCATTATAGCATTGCAGCGAATGATTGGATGTCCGTCCCACCCCAAACACTGTAAAACGATTGATCCACCGACTCGTCCACCCGCTTTCACCACCGAGCTCGCCGCCTGGACGTCTTGGACGCTGCACGGATCGCTTCACCCACCGGGGCTCCCGGGCTACAAAGGCTAACGAACCAAACGTTGAAGGTGGGCAACGGTGAAGGCACCATCCTGCCGCGTCGAGAAACTCGACGTGTGGAGGACCAAAACGAGTCGCTCGAGCTTGCGCAGCGGTTTTCTGGACGAGGGCGTAGCGTCGTTCCTTCGGCCCCCCGGGACGGCGATATTGGAAGACCCCGCGGTCTTCGAATGCTGAAGCGTTGCGGGAGTATGATCTCTATTGATCTCTCACTAAACACTTCGGACGGTCTCGTTGTCAACGTTGGGCCGTTGCAAGGGTTGAACACCTGCCCCTGTTTCCTTGATGGGACACTTCTTCAGCGCGAAAGGGTGCCCAAAAGCTTAAAGCTTCCCAACGCCACTCCATGACGCCACGTAGCCGGGACCCCGAGCTGCGGGACCCCGAGCTGCGGGACCCCGAGTTGCTGCTGCAGCTCTCAAATCCCGAGGCTTTTTTGGAGGGAATCGCCGTGGTTTCAGGGAGTGCTTGGGCATTTGATATCCAACTGGTGGTCATGGCAAAGTCAATGACCATTCACTGTCAAAGACTTCACGCATGACTTGAGGTGAATTAGCACCAGAACACGGCACATGAAAGCTCTGCAGTAAAATCCTTTGGAGGTCTTACACATACCCCAGTAAGTCCCAGTTACCACTGTAGCTGGTACCCACGAATGCCTTCTCTGAGCATTTCACGGTCACACTTCCACACCGATGGCAGGGGTCTCCATGGCAGGGGTCTGACCCCGACACCGAAACGCAGGGGGGTAACGGGGCCCTATGTATTTGAGGGCCAGGGTAGCTCTTCTCCACCCAAACACCCCACACCCACCCCACACTCAATCCACGCCCCAAGAACGCGCTACTAGTCATTGAGATCAAGCGGCACATTGAACCGGAAGCCATAGCTGCCCGACTTCAGCGTGACCCTGTCGTGCACCCGCCATCGGTCGGAAAGCCCGCCAGACCGTGCGTGGGGTTTGATAGGCTTAGGCGATTAGGTTGATGTGATTTCCTACAGAGAGCGAATCATGCCAATGGAACACCTAGAAGAAACGTGAGAACCTTGAACTTTCTCTTTGTCAAATTGTACGAGGGACAACACTTTATTCTATGTATACATCAATCAATATTTCCAAACACGCTGCATTCGCCAAAATCTGCTAATTACTAATTGACTTAATCTTAAAAAACTACACAACAAGCGCGAAAAGGAGGCCCTGCATTGGCTGTGCCATCTTTGAATCCCAAACCGCCGCTGCTACCACCGCGCCAGGAGGAGCGATTCAGCTCCAAGGAGATTCTCAAGCGGTCCTTCAGCAACGTGCTCGACCGAGAA